GCTTTGCTGCCTCTATTTGCACGACGAGTAACATCCCACTCCAGTAGGATTTGCTCTCATCTAATTTCACGTCACGGCAATAAATTTTGCCCTGGTTTGGCCTTTAAAAGTAACGGCACGCCGCAGGCATCTATTTCTAACGACCACAGGCATCTGCTGCCCGCGGCGCGAGCATCACCCCTGCAGCTCCGCTGTGCTCGGGGCCAGAAGCACCACGTTGGTGCCCTTGCTGCTGGATTTGCTGCCTGCTCCAGCCCAAACCCTCACCCTTTTGCTCTAGGGGTCGTACGGACACTCACCAGTTTTATATCGAGCTGGGATATACAGGGCACCCGCTCCTGTCTGGGTGCAGTGTTTAGCAGGAGCCTGTGCTGCGTTAGAGGGTTTTATTTTCAGGCTGGGAGCAGCACAGCTAAAGTTTCACTCCATTATTCAGCTTGGAGGGGGATGAGGTTACGGAGCAGGGGAACGGCGATGCTGCGGGGACCGCACGGCTCCTGCCAGGGGGTACCCAGGGCATCCTCCTCCTACCTGCCCGCAGTGAACGGGGCAGGCAGGGGAGAAGCTGCCTCTGCCCGCTCGCCCCGGCCTCGGAGCGGGTCTGGCCACGGTGGCCAGATGTGGCGATCGGCAGCTGCAGCTGGTTTCTACAGCCGCCAGTTTCATAATATTTATTTTTTGCCTTTCACAGTTTTCTCGGGCTGTTGTTGCACTCGGGAACCATTTAGTTGGCTTAAACGTGGCCCGGGAGCCGGCGCTGGCTGGAGGAAAGACCAAGATCTCGTGTTATTTCCCTTCACACCATTAAACCAGCCGGCAGACGTGGCCATGGGCCACTGTTCCATCTCACCCGGCTGTCCCAAGGCTTGTGGCCCCACTGCAGAGTGTGTGTGGGGGTGCATGGGAGGGTTGTTGACCCTGGGTACAACCCTACTGCCCCACGGGGATGTATTTACTCTGCTCAGCACCGGTTTAAGCATTTCACTGAGTTCTCCGCCAAACCAGCTCTGCCAATGGCTTTTTTTGAGAGGTCGCTGCTCTAAGCCGGACCGAGGTTACAGCTGGGGGGGTGTCAGTGCCCCCCTTCCCATCTCCACAAACCTGCCACCACCCTCCTTTTGGGCTGAAGCAGGGAGGGAGCTGTGTCCTCTGGCCCACGCCGGAGGGAGAGCTGAGTTTGAGCAAGCAGGGTGACAAAATGGCACCTTCCAGGGCCAGCACACGGGTGCGGGGGCACGTGGGCTCAGGGGGTGCGAGAGGAGAGGAGTGGGTAGCTTGGCTCACTTAAAAGGCTTTTTAAATATACAACAAAGTTTCTTTACATTATTTAAAAGCCTCTTTAAAGAGCAGCTGCCTCCTATTAATACCTCTCGGGCTGATAATCTTTGCTCGGATCTATCTTTAGAGAGCTGCCAGCATAAATGGGAGCTGGAGGTGCAGCGCGGGGGTGACGTCAGGCTGCACGCCGGCTCCGGGGGTGGCCAGACCAGCTGAAAACACAACGGAGCCTCCCGGGAGGGGGAGAGCGGCGAGGAAAGCAAATAATACCCCTGGCTTTTGGGGTGGGTTTGGAGAAACCAATCTTAGGGTTGCCCGTGTTTGCTCTGAAACGTGTCTTTTTGTGACTTCGGGAGCAGTTGAAGACGGCGGGGCTGTGCTCCCCGGCTGGGCTGGGGATGTGGAGCACCACGCGCTGTGTCAGCTTAGCTGGGAAATGGTTTAAGACCAGCTTGGGGTAATTTTTTTTTTTTTTTTTTCTGCCCAGTGCAATCTCCGCAGCGGTATTGGGAAACAGGCTGCGTTAGAGGCGGCTGCGCTGGGGTGTCAGCGACTGAACAAACCACGCAAGAGTTTGCAGAGATGAGGCTCTGCCCTGAATCAGCCCCTGCTCCTCTCTGCCTTGAGTCCGGGCTGGAATCGAGACGATTCCCCGTTTTCAGGTGCCGTCCTTTGACGCAAGCACGGCTTCAAAGGGGACCCTGAATAATCCTGCTCTCCGGCGTCAGCGCCGTGGGGGGAAGAGGGTGAGCGGGATCAAAACTCTTTGACTTGCTTTTATTTCCTTTGCTTTCTTAATCGCTTCCTGACAGCCCCGGAGCTGCATGAGAAATCCTCCGGAGTGATGCTGTGCAAGGGCTGACGCAGCTTTCGCCCCGTTCCCAGCAGGGCAGCCGGGAGGGGTTTTGGTAGGGATTAACACTGAGTTTCAGCTTTGCCCTTTGCCATGATGCCTGAATCCCAAACTTCTGGAGATTTTATCAATAATTGTCTTAAAATCAAATCGCATCTGAGCTGGGAGCTCCACATGCCTCGCTGGAAGAGCATCTCCATGTTTTCTGTCCTGTTGATTGCTTAAACCAAATCCATCCTTAGTTTGGCTCAGACTTATCCCAGGGGTGAACAGGATTTTCTGGGAGCTCAAATCTCAGCTGAGATTGGGATGTTGAAGGTGGCCATAAGCTGGGACAGTTGGCTGACTTCTTTTGAGGCACTTAGGGGCAACGAACGTGGCTAATCCTTCACTCAGCGTGCAGGAAACTTATTACCGCATTAAAACAACATTTACAACCTCAGTGAGGACCTGCTGCCTGCGTGACAAGCAGCCAGAGCACATCAGAGCTCTCTGAGCACCCATGTAATTTAGAAAAAAACCCACTGTATTATTTATTCATTCATTCATTCATTCATATAGTGCCCATCAGCTGAATATCAGGGGATGGCCAGAGCCCGGCCACACAGTGGGATGCATGCTGCTCCCGCTGGCCTTTAGGTCAGTGTCTGCTTAGCAAATTGTTGGAAATTCAGGTTATAGGGAAGATTTTGCTCTCTCTATGGCAAATGAGCTTTTTCTAGCTTTCTGAGTATCAGAGCAGAGGGTTATTTGCTCTTTTGGTGGCAGATGAAACCCTCAGTTGCTGCAAAATCGAGGAGGAGATGGTAAAGCTGAGCCGGGCACCAACGCGTGCAGGGCTTCTACGACACTAACGTGACTTTTTTAGCTGTGCTTGGATGTGAAATTTGGGAAATGTCGCAGCCAGATGCTCCTGGCAACTCAGTTGCACATAAATGGGATGTGGGTGGCAGCTGTGGCTTGCTGCGATGGAGAAGGGCTGATGTTTGGGGTGGGATGGTCTCAGCTGGTGTCGATCTGCTTTTCCAGCCTTGCTGAATACCCGTGAGCTCCAAACGGGGCTTTGCCAAAGTGTCCTGAGTAGCCCCAAAAGGGGATGCTGGGAAAATGCTGAGTATTTGTGGAAAATTCCTCTGGGTGCTGATCTGCCCTGGAGCCCCGAGGGGCCCCGAGGCTTCACACAAAATGTCCCTCGTACTTGACTCTGATTAGTGACTAATGATGGGGTGAGCGTCAGGCTCCGTGAACTCCAAATACACCCCTAGGAAGAATAAAGCTGCACAATGCTGGGAGCTGAGCAGAACGCCTTTCCACACCAGAGGAAAAACCAATATTGTCCTTCTGGTAATCTCATTTTTTCGGCCAGAACGTACCACTCCCCATCCTTAAGGGAAGTTTGCTCCCTGACCTGGGAATCCAGCTCCGGGGCTGGTGCATCTCCTCGGGGGCCCCCGTGGGTGGATCTGCCCGGAGCCCTTTCCTCTGATGCAGCGATAAAACATCTGCCCTCTCCAACTCCATCAATCAAAGCTCTAACGGTGTCAGTGGGGCTCGGGTGTCCGTCCCCGCGTGAGTGACGAGGAGGAAAACGCTCGTGCGTCGTTGGGACTCTCTTGACTCACCGATGGCAGCTCCACCTAACCAGTCACGCACTTTTCCGTGAGCCACCGGGACTCTCAGCCTCCTCCTTCCTTCTTCCTGAGCACACTGTCTTTGCCCAGAGGAAGGAAAGATTTACCTCGGGCAGGAAAGATTCACGGCCGCATGGCAGGAGCGTGTCCTGCCTGGCCAGGAGCTGGCGGGCGAAGGGGAAGGTTGTTGGTGCGGGGAGTTGAGTGATGCTGGTGTTAACTTGTGCACGAGAGTGAGCCAACGTGGTGGAGGAACGATAAACCCAAGAAAAATTCTGTATTCTTATTCTTCAGATTAGTTTAATTTTTTTTAAATTTTCATGCTTGCGGCTTCTCTGTGAGTGTCCCCTACGGGGGCCGTACTCTTCACTGTGGCTGTAGGAATAAAGGCATTTAGGAAAAGATCAAAGGGCCCTTTTCCAGATAATCAGCCACAAATGTGAACTCGGATCCCACAGACGGACACCTCGTTCCCATGAAAATCATGACCAGCAAATAAAAGTGATTCTGAGAAACACATGTGAAACAGTTAAGCAAACAACGGCCCAGAAAGATTTTTTTAAGTCCTGAAAAAAATTATAGGATTAATTATCAGCACAGTAATAAAAATAAATAGCTGGACTCTTTCTGCTGCTTCGGACTGTCTAAATTCCCCGGTTGAGAGCAAAGTCATGCTAGGGTTTGGGCACGACTTGGTTGGAGATGGCTGATGATTTTATTGAGCCCGACTGACTACTCCAAGCCAAACAGCACATCGAGAGAAGAGCAGGGATTTGTTTTCGCAGCACAAAACACTCCAAGCCTGTAGATGAAAAATAACCTTGAGAGAAATTCAAAGGAACCAACTGGAATTTTCTCCCAGCTTGAGAATACAGGGAACGCAGTTTCCGTAAAATTTTTTCTCTTTAAATCATCGTTATGACCCGCTCAGTTTTGTGTGCCTGGACCCCCAGCATCACTCCTGGGCAGGGGAAAGGCTGGAAGGGGAAAACGGGAAGGTGCAAGTAAGAGGGATCATCCTGTGTAGCTACAGTCTGGGCTATCCCAGTATTTCAGTCTGCTTAAAAATAAAAACCATGGAAGGAAAAAAAAACTTAAAAAAAAAAAAGAAAGAGAAAAAAATCCTGTCTGTGTGAAAATAATTACCTTTTCCCCCCCTCCATGAGCTCATACAGGTTTTACTAGTTTTTCCAGCTGTTGTCTGGAATAAAACTCCCATGTCTCTTGCAGGTATTTGCTGCCTAAGGTTCTCCATCCCCTTGCAACGTGGATCCCTCTCCATCGCCAAGAGAAGGGGGTTTACAGCAAAAATTACCCCGATGTTATCCAGCTTGGCCTTTTCAAGAAGGAACCCAGCCTTCGAAAATGCAGGTTTATATACGGTGAGCCAGGTGAGGAGGAGTTGTCTCTTTGGAAAACGCTGATTTATTGAAAGAAAGTGATTTTTGTCAGCGCTTTATGCTGTTGAGCAATGTTGTCTGTGAACTTTCAGTGCATGCCGAGTATCCCTCCCTCTGACCAGGCCTTGGGGAAGAGAAGGATTTCAAGGAGCGTTACACCCCCCTAAAAATCCATCAGCGTAATTTTGGCAATTGCTTTGCACTGAAATATATAAAAATCTCAATTGCCTTTGCCCAGCTCGGTGTCCTGCAACTGCGGGTTCCCTGGTTTATATGCTAAAGTCTGCATCATTTTGCATTTTTTCTGCCTTTTCCTTTCGCCTCTCGCCCATCGAACCTCGTGTGATGGGAACGACCACTGCAGAGTCAATTTGTTTGTACTTTGATTATATTTTTAGCCTCGTAGTTCACTTTTTTTTAAAAAAAAACTTCTTTCATAGTCCCGGTCTCACTGGCTGAATCATGATGGCAAAGACAATGTCCTTTATTATATTGTGGAAGGGTGTTGTTTTTTTGGGTTTTTTTGGGGTTTTTTTTCTGCTTTTTATTTTTCTAAGTTCACGGGAGGCAGGAAGTGAAGCCTGTTCCCAAATTTCACTCCGTCATTCTGCCCAGTGTCATTTGAAGTGCCAAAGATCACACTCCTTCGCTCCTACTCTCGCTCTTTCTCTTTCTCCTCCCTTGCTCAGAACAGCGAAGCAAGCAGGAAGGGCGAGGACCGGGAAAATCTGAAATGATTTTCCCCTTGTTTTGTAATGAAACTTTAAAAAAAAAAAAGGACAAGACAAGAACATCAGTCAATCATGTACTTTGGGCCTTGGCCAAATCAAATTAACTCCTGGTCTGTTTGTTCCACTTGAAGATGATAACCAGGATTTTAACGCACTCTGAGCAATCCGTCGTCATCGCGCTGAGATTTCCTTTTCTAGGGCTGTTTTCTGCACAGTCTTTCCACCACGGTGGCGGTTTTGATTAGCCCCCTGCTGCTGCCATTTAAAAAAAAAAATAAAAATCAAACCCCTAGTTACTAGCACTGGTCTAAACGTGTAATTTATTTTCTGACTCTTGAGAAGTTGTGGCACTTCAGAAATATTGTCACAGTTGGAGACACCAGGTAAAAATTTCCCATGAAATTTCCAATAATACTAACAGCAATAACAATCATAACAATAGCACTATCAACAATAATAATAGTAATGATTAACAATAATAATATTAGTAGTAGTAGTAATAGTAATAATAACCCCAAACCCCTCCTATCAGCCTGGTTAACAGCTTTTTTGTTCTTTTTGAAATAACTTCACGTAAGTCATGCTTCCTGCTTTATACACTGTGTAAATGAATTGCTGATATTTCAATCTCTAGGATGTATAAACCCCACCGTGAGGCTGGTGTTGAATTTGGGAGGAGAAAGGGAAACTTGCACTATAATGCCACGATTTCCGCTGGAGCACAGTTGATCCTCGAACCGTTCTGGTGTCGTTTAGTCTTTTCATTTTGTGGTTGAGTTTCAGCACTCAGGGGAGCTAAGGGGTGAAAAAAAGCCCAACCCAGAATTAACAGGGTTTCAAACAGAATTTGTTGTGTAGAATTATTGTAGAAATGTCCAGATTTCGAAGTGATTCCATGAGTTGGGGTGCGGTGCTTTGGGCCGGCAAAATTCTCAAATTCTCTACGAGCAATTTCAATTTTGGGATGTGATTTGCTGACGAGGAAGCCGCACAGGCTGAGAGTTATGAAGATTTCATATGAATAGTACATTGTATTGACAGTAATTATTTTATAGTGGTTATTAATTACAAAATAGCTGTGAAAGTCAGTTTTTGGAAGCGTGGCTTCTGTACTATTTCCAAGACGTTCTTTTTGCAAGAGCACGAATGGTAACTGGCTTTGTTTCGAGCCGTGTATAACTCACTGTTTAGCCCTAAATTTTTTTGTCATTTCTCATTGGATGCTCTTCCCTTTGCTGCCTTGACTCCTAGAAAGGGGGTGGGGGATGTTATTTAGCAGTGGGTGATTTGTGGGTAGGAGGTGTGGGGATTCCAAATAATGGAAAAGCAAATGTCAAACCCAGAGGGTCGCCCCCTTTCCAAGTCCCTGGCATGTCGGGTGGCCCAGTGGCACTTGCATAGAGATGGGAACTGGGTTTGTGTTTCCTTGTAAACCCAGGGAAAAAAAATGATACATTCTGATTTTGTAAGTTCCTGTACCTTGCTATGAACTTCAGTTTTGACTAAAAAAGTGATTTCAACAAGAGGAAAATTTTAATAGCCTTTTTCGAAAGTAATTTCCAAGTTGCTGAACGAAACAAGAAGGAAGAAGAGATTTTGTTTTAATCCAGCCGTATTACTAATACTTATTCTTTGGTTCTCTTGGACAAGTCTTACTCTAATGTGATGGGGGAAATGTTTTTTTAAACTTCGCAGTAGCTTTTGGAGCAATAACTCTGAATTAGTCTGCCCGTCTTCCTCTGATGAGTATTAAACTTGTTTTGATCTTCCACTGGAAATTAGAGATTTCCTGAATGAAGTGTAAACGCACATTTACACGTACATCAAAGTCAAAATCAAGGTATTTTCTCTTTCCTGCAATGGTGTTACAGACGCATTCATTAAAAAATGGTTCTGCCTTAATTTTATTGTGGGGCTAGATAAGATACAATCCACAAGGCCAGGCCACTGCCAACGAGAAGCACGACAAGAGCTTTACGAGCACCGGGATTTAGGGCTCCTCTTGCACACTGCGGGGCCCAGGATTGGAGGTTTTGGTCAGACAAAACCTATCCAGAGGATTATTCTAGTGATACTCGGGCACGGTGGCCTAGAAAGGCCACCCCAGGAATCTTTTACTCTTCCCTCAACCCCTTCTTCCTATTTTTTTCAGCACCAGACACCGAAGACTGTGCGAGATGAACCTCTGGCTTCACACAGCCTGCACACCAGATATTTCTCATCCAGAACAAACTGGATCCACAAAAGGTTCGATGCTCAGTCAATGGTAAGTGCAACATCATCTTCTTGGGTGGTACTGTGGTCACAGAAGGTTCAATGAAAGAGTCAGACACTAAAAACCCTTAAATTTGACATTTTATTTCATTTGCAGAAGAAAATCCAACATAGGCCTCATTATGTTATGCATCTTTAATTATAAAAATAAGCAAAGAAAATAACTTGCATCTTTCTCATTACTATGATATGTTTCAAATAACCTTTATATGAACACACTGAGCTTTAAAAATGTAATTTAAACAATAAATAATGACATATACCAGATATGCTCACTGTTTATTCCAGTACTCAGCAAAAAAAAAACAAAACAAAAAAACCCCAAACTCTCTCCCCCTTCTAAGTATCTTTAAATTATAAATACATAATGCAAATTTATAATGGCACAAAACATCTAAAGTGCAAACAAATCACAATGAGAATCATGCAAACGTTTCTAGATAAGCCCCTCCCCGCCCCCGAGAGAAATCATTTTGCAGTGAACGCGAGATTAAAAAAATAAAGCATTAGAGATTAAATAAAACATGAAATAGCTGGACTTAATATTGAGAATCATTTCCCATCTCCAGGGGGATGTCTCCCACCTAAGTCAAACCACCTAAATCAGGCGTCCTTCCCAGTCGAGGGGAAGCACCTCTCCCATCTCCGTGTCCCCCTCCCCTGACAAGAGAGAGCTTTAAGTGACCAGCTTAGGCTAGATGGCAAAAGTTAGGCAAGGTGAACCCCAGGCCTTGCGATGTGATGGATGCGTGCTCGCGGCTTCCTTCCTACTTCAGCATAGGGAAAAAAAGTGACCTATGAAAGCAGCTCAAAAATGCCGTGCTGCGGTTGAGGCTCTCTCCGACGCGGGGCACGCGGCGAGCGCCCGACAGCAGTGCCGCTGCGGAGAGGCAGAGCTTTGGGGTGCACAGGGGATGTTCACCTGTGATACCAGAGCAAATCGAATCGGAGCGGGGAATTATTTTCCCAGTCATCTTCCCACTCGCATTAAGGGGACAACAAGTTTAAATTCCTACTGGAAAAAGGAATTACGACAACTCAAAAAGATCGGGTTTGGGGTAATCTAACCCTCCTCCCCGGCCCCAGATCAACTCTATAAACCTTCTTTGGGTTTTCATAGAAATGGGACGCACAAAGCAACAGAGAAGCCACCTGCCCCGAGGAGCATCTCGATGGAAAACTGTGGCTGTAGATGTTCTCAGTGAGCTCTGCCTGTGCGAGCCCACGGGGGCCTTGGGTAGCCAGAGCCAGAGCTGGGCTCTGCAGCACCACCACAGCCCCCCGGGAAGTTGTTTGGACGCTGCTTCGAGTTGGGTGAAGACCTTTTTTTGTAACTATTTCCCCAAACAGCAACACGCACTTGATGCACAAACCCCGGCAGGTTCCCCACTCAGCAACGCCCGGCTCCTGCCGGCATGGCGCGAGGTGTGATGCTGGAGGGTGGAGAGTCGCATGTGCACGTTCTGGGATCAGTTCCTAAGCATAAGTCAAACTTTTAGGGTCAGGATATTCAAGGGGCCTTTGGTTTTCACCTTGCAAAACTTGTGTTGGACTCTATATACCTGACTGTGATTTAAGAATGAGCAATATTGCATCTTGCTTGCCCTGGACAGCACGATTCAGAGTAAAAAAAAAAAAAAAAAAGTAACAACCCTCTACCGTCAGCAACATTTTTTGCTGCTTACAATTTTATGACAGCACTTTTGGGCTACATTTAATGAAGACAGCAATATTAAAAATGCTGCCACTGCATCTGGTTTCAATATATTAGCAGCAAGTTATTGTTTAAAGGCTTTGTGGTTTTAAAAAAGAAAAAAAAAAAAAAAAGAAGTTATATTGCTTTAGATTTTGAAAAGAAAAAAAAAATAGATCCCTCCTTTATTAGCTCTCTAACTAGTTGAGCAAGAGTCATCCACTCTGCAGACGGACTCTAACGGGATAGATTTGGAGCTGGAACTGGCCTCGTTGATCGCATGCCACAATGTGGCTTTTTTTGGCTCGCCGCAGCCCGGCCGGGCTACTGTGCAGAGCCGGCGTTGGGGGGAGGCCCCCGGCTACTGCCACGGGCCCGGCGGCTCCGCTCCTGCGCGCAGAGGCGGCCCAAGAGGTGGACGGGAGGAGAGGCAGACCCGGGAGCGTTAATGCGCGTGTCCTCCCCAAGGCAGGCGCAGCACTCCACGCGTGAAGCTGAAGAGAACTGAGGGATTTCTCCTGCCCTTCCCCAGAAATCAACTTCCTAAGGGAAGCTTTACCCTGCGGCAGCTATGAGATCCGCGAGCAGCTTTTCGTCAGCCACCCGATAATTCCCCAAACAGCTCTCCAGCAGCACTCGTGCCTTGGGTATAACTACATCTCCCAGCAGCTCTGTGGAGATAGGACTCGCCAGTCTGAACTCTATTTTTTTTTTTTCCCCCTTCCATTTCAACTACGAGAAGAGAGGCTTGTTTCTGGCTCTGTGATTTCTGTCCTAAACATCTTCTCTCTTCCATTATAAAAAGGCCACAGAGTAGAACGTGAACTCTTGAGTATGACAGAGATACTGTTTCCAGGAAAAAAAGAAATAGCTAACTTACAAAACTAAGTTTATGCAATAAAGTTATTATATTCTGCTTCTTTTAAGCAGACTCTCGTGGAATTTATGTACAGTACATGACAGATTTTAAAACTATTTATACCACAGTTAGAGCAAGAGCTTTAATACTCTAGTCTTAAGACAGGGTTTGTTTTTGTTAGATTTCTTTTAAAGCTTTCGACAGTTAAATACAGTACATAGATGTTAGCTTTTAAATACAATGCAAGATTATGTAACCTTCTGACTAGCTTTAACCATAGACTGGCACCTCTTTTAATCATTTCCGTAGTACAAAATGTTCCTTTCCTGATTTGGTGTGTGTCAGGGGGAGGTGTGGGGGGGGAGTGGGGGAGTTTTAACTCATTTTGCACTGTGGTGCCAGGTCACGGTAACTAGAATCATCCACAGCTAGCGAGTTTGGTAAATCCATGGGTTAACAGAGCTGTATTGGAAGGATTAGGACTGTACGACACTAAGAGACCAGGAATATGACATTCATATTCGTCCATGGCCAGCACAGATTCATAACACGAATTCCATTGACATCTTTAGGATGTGCAATAGTTATTAGTGCATCTATCGTCGCCTACCAGCTTACTACAAGAGAGAACAAGCTATTCTCCTTGGTGCCAAATCTTCAGACCTCAATGGTGTTAGCGCTACAGTACATTTAGAGTTTGGTTGTCTGAAGGCCTGACTACTGTCCGGTTCTATTTAAGACTAAGATCGTTTGGGATATCTTTTTGTGGGGAAGAAAAGAGATGGAGACATTTTGACGGCGGGAAAGCTGAGACACTGAACACAGATCCATGCAAAAGTTTTGTTCGAGAGGAATAGAAAATATTAATGACTAAATCTAAAACCAGTTCCTAGTTGTTATTAAAACTAGCTACAGTACACTTGGTTTGGGTGCGTTACTCTTCTAGAAAAGAGAGACGTCAGCTTTGGTAGTGCTTAGCATCCCTTACACACCCATTGTGGCTCCCCCGAGGCGTTACGCGCTTTCGGCAGAGCTGCGCTTCGCGTGGGCCGGGACGGACCCCTCACCTCGGAGGTTCCTGAAGTAGAGCTTTAGCTTCTGCGGCTCGGTGATCCGTCTCCTGGTGAAGTCAGCCCGCGGGTGGCCTTGAGCGCAGTGATCTGTCTGCAGGAGGTGGAAGAGGCTTGCCATGTTGGGCCCGATCTTCTCCATCAAGCTGTCCTTGATGGTGCTGACAGTCTCCTCATCACACTCCAGTAAGCTTCTCACCAGCTTGTTGTAATACCTGCATGAGAGTTACCATCCGTTATTCCAAGGCATCTCCCAACAAGAGGAAAGAAACAAGGTAAGAGCCGATCTCAAGCCAGGAGACCCCTCCAAGCGACAAAATGACGAGAATCAGAATTTTTTAAGTCATTTGGGGTGTGTTTGAAATGGATCTGACAGTGCACAACACGCACATTCTCACTGCATCTAACAAACACCCCAGACCTGGACATGCTGTGCCCATGACATGCAGAAGGAACACAACCTGTCAAACTTCCAATTTAGTTGTCCTAAATGAGCAGCTGCTCCAGCCCTGAATGGTGAGGCCATAAGCACAAGTGATTTTGGTGGATCGGGAAGGAGATGAGAGCGAGGAGCTAAGACGATGGAGTAATTGGCTTAAGTGTGTGTTTTACTCTCTGTTAAATAACGTGAGTTTCTAGAGCTTTAGGAAGAAAAATAATTGTGTCTTTTTAATAGACAGATACAGCCCGCCACCAGAGAGGATACAGACTAAAGAGACCACTGGGTGGTACCCCCCTCCCGAGGAGCGTGTCCATCCCCGTGGCGTCGTTCCCCTTCCCCACCGTGCACAGCCTTTAGCAAGGGACCAGGAGAGGGAGAAGCAAAGTTCGGGCCAAACCGGAGCCTGACAGATGTCTGTATTCCCTGGGGACAGATCTTTAGGACGTACAATCAGTTGTCACTTCCAACAAGCTGACCATGCATTAAATCACCAGTGAAGACCTTATGCTTTGCCCTGTTGCCTGCCTGCCTCCTCTACAGCCTGCTGTTCCCATCTCGCCTCCCCGGAGCACGCGTTCCTTGCTCAAGGAGGGAGCCAGGAAATTGTGCTGATCTGTTTCCCCAGCGCTGCTTGAGGCGAGCCGAGCACAGTGCTCAAAGGAACAACCCTCGGCGGGGCCGAGGTAGAATCGGCACAGCCCTGAGCACACGGCTGGCCCGGGCAGGGAGAGCAAAGCTGGCAAACGGGACCTCGCTGCGGGAGACAACACCTTCCTAGGGAGAGAAAGTCGGGAAAAGAGGAGCAGTCCCATATTTGCTAGGCTACTTCTGCCTGAAAGGACGTCGGGGAACTTATTTTAAGCCTTTAAGGTCACCGTGACATTTTTCCACAGGAGCAGGGAAGAGAATAACCTGCAGGTGGAGGAGGGGAAGGAAGAGGGAAATGAGAGTTCGCATTCAAACTCCTTTCCTAACTCTCAGCTCTGGCCTTTAGCAGCCAGTGGAGGTCAGGTGAGGTTAAAGTTTCTGCTGCACTCGAAGTACAAAAGGACCAGGCTTTGGCACGGCGGAGCACAGTGCAAGCACATTAAGGTCTGAAGCGTGCACAGGAGTTGATGATGAATAAATCTGTGCCAGCCATGCGTGATGCCGAAATCAGTCCCAGCCTGACGGGACAGGAGGAAGAGATCCTGTCCACCTTCCTCCGCTGCGCTGCCCACCCCTCCTCCATCCAAACACAGCTCGGGGGTTCCCATCGCTGGAGCAGCAAGCAAACAGCTCGCTAGTGCCTTTCAGTAGCTCGACTGCAGGCAAAGGCAACACGGCTTTCCTCTCCTCCCGCTCCTGCCATGAGATTAAATCACAGGAAGATGCTATGACCTTTAACTACTTCCCCTCAGTGTCCCACGCCAAGTGGCACATTCTTATTCTGTGGCTATGTTGGGACAGGGGCTGGGAAAGCAGGATGCTTTAGGAGACCTCAGTGTAAACTATTAGCTGGGAAATCCTGCTGCTTTTGTTACTCAACATGTCATAATATCCTTTGGCTTCGACGAGGGTTGGCGGCTGTGGGGGAGGAGTTCCCTCCGCCTCGGGAGACAGCGGCTCCGGTTCAGGCTCTGGAGAGGAACATCCCCAACACGTATAACACCGCCGCCACTGTCACTGCACCCCCCTTCACCCCCGTGCCCCTACAGCCCCGCCAAGGGCTGCTGAACTCTACAGTCCGTCGTGTTAACCCAAACTGCTCTTGCAGGCTGTAAAACACGGATGTCACAGCTCTGCCTGCTCCTTGTCCCAGCCCGTGGGGGAACGCTGAAGCAAACCTCCTGCAAATCTGCTTGGGGGAAGAGGGGAAAGACACACAAGTATAATTTTCATCTTCCCACAAGTATAATTTTCTGGATAGAATATCTACGGTAGAGTTTTCTATAATAAATTTACGCTGGTCAGAGATGGAACATCTGTGTGTCACTTACATACCTCTCTGGAGGCTTAAGATGCTTCTAGAGGAGGTCAAACAGCCGCCCCAGAGGGTGGCATTCGCCACAGCCAGCCAACATGTTAAACTGCAGCTTGGTCTGTTTGCACTCAAATTCTAGAGCATATTTACTCAAACCGTTCAAAAAGATCCCTTTTATCCCAATCACAAGACTCAGCACTGATTGTTCCAGGATTTAGAAGAAGAAATCCCTGCCCTTGCAGCGTGACTGTGCAGACTGCAGTAGCTCCCTGAAGCCTCTCTCTGTCCCTTGTCCTTGGAGGATGGGGACAGGGCAGGTCTGTGCTCAGATAAGGTGCCAGAGAGCAGTGTGACGTGCCCGTTTCTGCAGGCAGCCTTGGCTGTCAAGAAGGAACAGGGGTGAAGACAACCCTCAAGAGCCCCTTAAGAACACCAGAAATACGAACTACTGGGTGGTGGCAGGTTAAGGTTATAGAGGAGCACGTTTGCTGGTTCCCTTTAAGCTTTCCTAGTTCCTCACATTGCCACGGTAAGTCAGAGGGCAAAGCCTCATTTCCTAGTGACGTAGAAACCCAGGGAAGGGGGATGACTCCCGTCGGAAGAAGTGAATGCAACTGCAATAGGTTGAGAAGTTCTTAGGCACTCAGTATACCAGAGCTGCGATATTAATGGAACTGGTTTGGTATTTAAAGGCTCTGTTTACCATTATACTGCATTCAAACTAAAAGAACTAACATTTAAACAAACTCCAGGCTTTGAAGTAATGTACGTCTAGTTAATTTTATGATTCTCCCCTGGAGATATTTATAAGTATATTTATCAAAAAAGAGAGTCAGAAGAATGCTGGTAAAACCTAACAAGGATTTGAAAAGGCAGGGAGCATTACATAGGCTAAAGCTGCTTTAGGACTTGTAAGAAGCTAGTCAACTCGGTCCCTCTCATTTACTTTCCCCGTGCCTCACATTTTTGCACTTGATGCGTTTCAGCTGAGGAAAGCTCCACGTACCGGTTTGAGAACTGATTTGGAAGCTGGACGACCTCCGTGATGGCTTCAGGATTTCGTTTCGCAATGCCGCACATGTCCAGTTTGCTGTAGCACTCCTCCTGCACTTCGGAGATCATTCTTTGGAACGTGGAGCACCTCCGGATGGCAAGGAACACCTTGGACGTAACCCCATTTGCAATGCATTTCAAGCTTTCTTTCACAAAAGCTTTTCCCTGGAAACAGAAGAAAAAAACCCCAAAAACTTAAAACTGCAACAGATTTCATCGAAAGGGATGTATTAACGGATACTCCGCGGTGGCTGGCTGCTCTTAATTACCCTTGTTGCAATTACAGACCTGCTGGAGGTCCCTCACCGAGCACGGCAGGGAACTGGACCCTCAATGCTCGCAATTATTGCACAGTTATCATTCGCAGCAGTGTTTTGGTTGGGATGAACACAGCCCAGAGCCAACAGCGAGCTCCTGTTCCCAAAAGATTCAGGCAATGGAAGTCTTCGTGTGATGGGCCAACTCTGCCCTCCGGGAGGGGCCCGGACCGCTCGCTGCATACCAGCGATTTAACACATCTGGCTCACCAGACCTCAAGATGCTTTAAGAGCTTTTAAGTCTGTCCTTGGGAGCGGGAGCACAGGGAACATGAGGGTGTGCGCATTTTGGGAAGAAAATACGAAGGAAAAGGGCCCTTGGCAGAGCCGCAGTCCGCTGATATTATCCTATTTATTCTGCTGTGAGCGACTGCAGCTCCGGAGAGGCTGATCTGGCTGTGCATTCCCAGGCCTGAAGACTTCCAATTCAAATCCCAGCCCTGTGCCAGGTCACACAGTCAGAAGACTTACTTTGTTAGAAGAACGTTTATATTTCCTCCTGAAGAGGAAACTTAGCTCTCCGCCCCACAAAACACTCCTTGCCAAGTCCTCACACATAGCATACAGTATGTGGAAAATGTACCGTCGAAAACAGTCCTGAGGATGCATTTGTAGCCAAAAACCAAAATCATGGTTCAGAGGAGTAGCTAAGCAGCAGGAAGGGCTGTAAGAAAGGAAGGGTTAAGCCTGCACAGACCCCATCCCCACGAGGATGGAGAAATTAAGGCATCCACTCAGCACGTGCTTTAGTGTCGCAGGACTTGTAAAAGCACTTTATTGAATCGGGGCATGAAAAGGGAGCTCTAACGGCGAGGGATTATTCTCGTCGCCTTTATACTCGTAACGTACCTGAGTGTCAAATTTAGCAGCACTGTAGAGGAAGGACTTGCAGATGTCGTACATGCCATCCGTGTCGCACGTGGAGTTCTCCAGGCAGGCGAAGGCCCCGCAGCCCACCTGGAGGGCACTGTTGAGGCACCGAACCACCTCGGCTGCAGAGAGAGGCAGAGGCACTGCGTTACGCACGCACCGCTCCTCGATGCCCTCAAGCCCTTAAGTCAGGCTCAACCGCAGTCAAGCCGTAGCCTGAGTGCTTTTCGAGACTCTTCCTTACCTCTCCCTCCACAGGCACTGCCAGAGGGAGTTATTAACCGAAGTCACCACCAAACCGAGGAACAGAAACCGCAAGGACCGAAGCCTTCGATCGGTTACGCACGGATTAAAAGAGAGGCAACATCTGATAGTCTTTGCTGAGCTGGAGACTTACAGGTCTAGCCCAACCCAACTCTGACTGCATGCATTTACAGCTTTATTCAGAGTTCCTCTAACGAAGGCAGAAGTCAGGAGGACGGGCCCATGAAGAGCTCTGGGTGCTGAGGTCTCCTCCAGGGTCTCAGACCGAAGGGAGGTCACAGCAGCTTGGCAGCATCTGGCTCACAAAGCTCATTTGAAAATGAGACCAAAGTGATGGCGATGGCCAAGAGGCCGGCACGACATCTGCACTTAGTGCGTGGAAGCGCTGGTTTGGCTAGCGTTGGAGGTATTTGGGCTTTGTAAACGATCTAGAAATAAGGTTTTAGTTTGCGTGTCGGTTATCAGGACTACAAAGGACTTGAAGGAGCAGCTTGGTGCTAAATACCAACCCGGTACCCAGCAGTGTGCAAGCAGAGCCCAGAAAGGTCATATTGCTGAAGATTCGCAAGGAGGAGGGACATTTGGGTAGAGAAAGTTAAGGTAATGGAGCTGACCATGTATAATTAAAATCGTCGAGGCCGTAGTTAGTCTGAACAGGAGGGTATCCATGTCATCCCATCTTTTTTAGTGCAGATCCGATGCATTTTAACAATGAATCAGCAGTATTGCCACATGATTGCCCTGAAATTAGTAGGGATTAACCTTTTTTGGTAAGCTGAACATCTGTCCCCTTATGTGTCTGTGCAAGGCAGATTCATTACTTTTGCAGATCATGTTACGAGACATTCTTTAGGAAGAAATGCAAACCCAGTGTCTCCCATCCAGATCCTAGGTGTGGGAAAAGTGAGGATTTGCATTTCGTGGAAGAGAACACACCTTCTTAAGAGCTAAGTTGTAGCCTAAAGACTTATCTATGTAACCAGGATCTTTACAGAAACAGAGAAGAAAAGAAAATACTTTACAAAAAAAAAAAAATCACCCAATTAACCTCTCCTCATTCTCCGCTCTTGCTTACGTGCCTGAAGGGAGAAATATTTGGTAAGATCATCCTCTCCCCGGTTCATAACCTCACCATCACACAAGTCATTCCCATAATTATGTTTCCACAGGTTCAAATTATAACTTTGCTTTCAGCAGACTTAGTATGCATTAAGCTTTTATTGTTTTAGGCACGGTGCAATAGTGAGACCCTATGTTTCTATAGCAACCAAATACAAAAGGAAATTGAGCAAACACCCTGGTATAATGCTGCAGAGCCTTGCAGATCTAAAATAAGACATCTGTTAATGAGCTCCAAATTGGAGATCTAGTATCTTTTCAGTATACCAGAAGACAGATTTTTAATTTCCATTGTTCGAGACAATGTGTCCAACTTATCTAAGCATCTATAGTGCACAAAGTAGAGACATCCAGAGCTGACTTGCCAGCAATTATTATTATTTTTTTTTTTTTTTTTACCCATTGTAAAAGCAAGTTTGCTAAATGTCACAATCATATTTTTACGGTACCATCTAACTGATAGCAATCAGTTTTTGAAAATAAATGCTAGCAGTGGACAGTTTCTAGGTTACTGCATTCTTCAAAGTCGCATATCTCTCATCCCCCTCTTTGAATAGACAGATGTTTGGCAGAACAATGGTTCAGTCAAATTTCCACGGATTTTATCAACTTCCTAAAAAGCAAGGAATTTAACACCAAAGTATGATTGCAATTGGAGAAGCGAGAAAGGTACATGCAAGCGGAGGGAAGGGGGGGGGTGG